GCAGGTCGCTTGACATGCCAGGGAATCTGTGATTTTTCACGCCTCACCCCTCCCCAACTGAACCGCTAGCATGAAAGGGTGAAAAAACATATATTTTACTCTTTTTTTTTTTTTTGATCAAGAGTAACGCTCGCAAGGGCTGAGAGGCAGAGAGGAGTTGAACATGTAATTGACGGAAGAGCTTTGAGAGGTCCTCATTGCGCGCTAAGTTCATACCCAGTCGTACTCTGACTGCAAGGTTATGCATATGGATTTGAAATGAAACTCTTGGTGCTGTTTGGTGATGTTTCTTACACTTCAATTTTTTGGTGGTGAGACCAACGGAGGCTATCAAAAGCAATCTCGAGGAAAATCGACGATCTGCACTCCAAGCGGCATTACTTCTACTTCCTGATTCGTTCAACATAGAGGACTTGTATCAGAAAATTGTATCTTTATCGTACACCGGAGATTTCCGAATGTACGTCGGTGAAGATAAAGATAAGGTATTTTCCTACAATTTCGAACTTTCCCTTCCTTTTTTTTCCTTTTTTTGTTTCCTTTTTCGTCTGCGAAGGTATGCCAATGGTTGTATTTGAGATCAAAAAAATTGTGCTTGGCTGTATGGAGGAATTATCTGACGTTTATAATCCTTTACTTGCTAACGACTCAAAACTGGTTGTGCAAAACGGGAAAGTGAGTTTCTTTTGTTCTTTTTTTTATAAAATGTTGTAACGTTTCGTCGGCTCGACAATATAATCATTAGTTGGCGTGGGCCGCGTTCGTATCGCGAGCGAGTCGCGGTTGTAGCCGCGAATCGTGAAAACAGCAGCTCGAAGGGAGCTCATGCTGTGCTTGCGCTGGTTCGCGGGCACCACCCGACTCGGCCGCTTCGCCGCGGCCGCGCCCAAATGGTTAGGTATTGTCTAGGAGCCCGTTTCGTCCACTGCTCTAAAAGATTTCATGTCAACATGTCTACTTGCCACTTATTAAGTGTTTCATAGGCATAGCAAGAATTTTGGGCATTAGGGGTCACGGTTGTGCGTGACTATACAATCGTGGCAGTAAGTAGGTCGCCGCGCGGGCCGCCGCAGCCAGCAATATCGCGGCGAAATTGCAAAGAACTCAGCATCCAAGCATTGGGGAATGTACGATCAGATCATGTTTCCCGTCATGAAACATGAAATAAGAACCACTTAAACCTTTAAAATGCAGTTTCGTTTTCGCTCGCCGTTATTACATACTTATCATATCATGCTTATGTTTGAGCCTTCCTCGCCGCTACTCTGTGTCTTGATACGCAATATTCTTTCCGATTGAACCAGATTATCACTCTCTGATAGAAATTCAGGAAACTGATTAATAAAGAAGTCAAATGAAATCCTAAAGGACAACCTTTACACGGTACAGTTTGTACTGCGAGGCTTAAATCACTGCAGGGATCTTACAGTGACGCTTGCTGGCTTACTGATGTCCAGCACTCTGGTGTTATCAGTCACCTAGCCAACTTATGAGCATGGATGGATAAGAAAAGGTCCACACAGAAATCGCCGCAGCAACTGCCGCACGCGACGATTTCGCCGCGTGAGCGGCAGCGACCGACCACGCACCACAGTCCGCCGGGGCAGTACCTCATAGCACGAATTGTATAGTCCGTCGCCGGGTCAACAGTAAAACTCGTATCTATTTTAAAATGTTACGTTGCGATGTCTGCTAAAAAGCATTTTTTTAGTACGATCATTTCGTTCGCGGAAATATTGGAGAGGCTTTCAGATTTTGCATCCAAAGAATACTTTCGACTTTTTCATGGGCGATAACAAGGGCGATAACAAAAACTTCGGAACATTGCTAACGGCTCGTGTGTGTAGGAGATTACGTCTCTCATCCAGGTACTGCAAGATGGTTCCACTGCCGCTATTTATCACCGTTTGAACCTTCTACCGCAGACAGTACTGGAAAGGATTCAGAAGAACTGGAACAGACGAAATAAATGGCAAAAGGATACAGAGGAGGTGAGCTGTATTATTGTAATTGTGTGAGGCCCTTTTTATATAATTTTTGACTTCCTTCGTTTTTCCTTGCGATGCATAAGCAGTGATGATACGGGTTATCGAAGCTTATAAGGTTATATTGAATGCGCTTTTAGGAGGGAAGAGGGGGGGGGGGTGGAGAGGGAGCGGTTAAGTGGATCAAAACCAACGAAAGCACCTGTTGTGAATGGGATATGGTATAGATCGTTCCACAGATTCGCATCGCAAAAATGAGACCATATTAGTAGTAGTCCCATGATTATCGACTGCCACAGTTGTTTTTAGCCACCAATGAACCTTCAGTTTCAATAACGACACCAATATCTGCATCCTTCATCGTGACTGATCTTTCCGATTCTCACTTTTTCACCATCGTTCGATGATTATGGTGAGGAGAAAAATCGCACTAAGTTGGATGTTCATGAAAGAGATAGATGGAGGTGAAAAGGAAAGGGTTGGGTCTAAGTAGTACAGATGTGACGCTTACACAGCTGAAGATGCGTTACCAACCTTGTGATCGGGCGCTGAATGTGCCCCAAATGCCTCTCATGTTCTCAGACACGCCCACAGCCAGCACACGAAAGAGGCTATGTGTAATGGAACTCTTACCGTCAGCATCCGATTCTCTTTTTTGTGCAGTGTTGCACCGGCCATCAAATCAGCACTTATTAACAGAACACCGTTAGAGTGAAGCCAGTGTTTAACATAACCCGAGCTAGTCTATGTAGCGGTAAACTCAAGAAGTGTCGAAATGTTCTTTGTTGGAGAAATTAAATATGTTTCCAATTCTCAGAATTAATCAGTTGTGCTTTTCTTCAACGATTATCGCAACTTCTTTAGGTTTTGTTCTCCTTAGCTCACCGCCACGATGTCACTTTGCATGTCGAGGGAGCAATCTCATCCATAGTGGCTCCGGTAGCGCTGTCACAAAGTCTCAAGAATGCTGCTTCAGCCGGATTCTCTCGAACTTTCATATACAGCTTAGCTAAATTGACGAAAATGATGAGAAGCTTAGGAAGATAAAGTGCATTTGCTTCTACTTTCATAGATGTACATACTACTATTTATTTAACTAGGTCAAATGTTTCACATTACTAGCGCCATGTTTTGAATCTTCATTGTTTAAAGAGTTTTTAGCACTTAATGTTGTTTTTTACGTTTTCCAATGGTTATCTGCGACGCTAGCTTTTCACAGTTAGACGCATATCGTTGTACAAGTTCCCATGTGGCCTAAAGAGAAAGAATAAATAATTGACATATCCAAGTTCTATGTTGATATCGTGAGGTACTGACTGACCTGATCACACATTCTTCGATCTGGTGGCATTTGTGTTCGTTCGTCAAATCCATGAACCCATCGACGTGTGTCAACATTGCGGTGCACTGAGTATTTAGCACCAGTAGCCAACTTTTCGAGGAGTTCAAGAACCTGTAGGCCGATGTCAGACTTTGCGAATCGCGCGATTCGCTAGCGTCTGCGGTCGCGTCGCGGCCAGTGAATCACTCAATTGGCTGGTACCGCAACGCGACCGCGGACGCTAGCGAATCGCGCGAATCGCTAGTAGCGAATCGCGCGATTCGCAAAGTCTGACATCGGCCTAGTGACCCAATAGCCTTTATAGTACCTTGCTTTCTTACATAGTCTTAGGGATAGGACTCGTACTGGTAGTTCGCTTTACATTCCAGTATGCAGTAGAATTCTTACGGTCAGATAGTTTTAAGTATAGTTCCTTTCAAAAGGCGAGAAGAGCGCCAGGTGCAGACCTACACCACCCGTGACGGCCACAAAATGTAAATGTTTTCTGCCAATGAAATGTTAGCCTGTTGCAGTTGTATTCTATCAGTTGTCACTAATTACAACTATCATTTACCAAAAATCAGCTATCACTATGAACCACTACTAAGATTTCATTTGCCGTCGTCACTTGTGGTGTATGGTCTGCACCCGACGCTTTTCTCGTTTTTTAAAGAGAGATTAGCTTCCCCGCATTCAACTGCCAACAAAACTGCAAAGTATGTCTCGACCCTTTAGATTGCGAAGCCTAAATTCACATCAGTCGTGCTCAAAACAACACAATAACTCCTTGAAAAGGGAGGTTAAGTACTGCGCTAGACCGCAACCTTGCTCTTTCTCTGCTACCAGTACAGCATTACAATTGCAGAGGACCATATGTACCTGATCATTCCTTTCAGTTGCGCTCATTTTTAAAACGGTGCTTGAAAGGAGTTGTAGAAAGCGTTGAGGTCAAGCGTTCATTGCAAACGTGAAGAAGGCGTATTCGAACTATTTTGAGCTCTTATTGGAGGGGTTAGCGCTGAAAAGTCATGGTGGGACTTTAAAAATTAGAGCGACGGCAGGACTTAGGAATTCTTGCAAATTCCACATACATCTCTAGCCTTCTTCGCCTGAAGCCTTTCTTCCCTGTGAAGTAGAATTACTCCCCCCCTCGGGAAAAGGGAGTTAAAAATAAAAGATCACAATAAGAAGGGAGATATTGTTGTTCTGAGGAAGAAAAGGGGTTTGAGAAGGGAGAAGAGGCTCATCGAATTTTCTTTTCATGTTTCGTTTTGTAGTTTTGCTCAGTAATGAAATACCAGCTAGAATATCACGCTATCCAGAATCACAGTATAGTTAAATTGTCGTGCGATTTCCCCGCAAGCGATCCGTTCATCTTGTGAATGAATTTGGGGCACCAGATTACCGGCGTTATCACTTGAACTTTTTGTAGGAGCTGTTATTGATAAGCATCAAATATTTTCACAGCATAACCTACCAATGGCTTACATAATTTTACCCTTTCTTCCATATAATCAAGTTCACGCTTAGCTTGAGCACGTGCTTTCTCGACTTTCTCCTGGATGCTCTCTTTCATTGATTCACATTTCTCTTGAAATTCCTTTTCTTTTTCCTGAACCATAGTTTTATTAGATATATTTAGTTCCGGGTTCAGAAAACGATAATAAATTTTCGCTCATTAAGTTGGCTTATATGGATGATCTATTCTTCTGTTTCTGTACAGAATATTCATGAAAGAATAAATGCACTCTGTTTCTCGCGACGAACCATGTCGCAATTGCGGACAGTAAATGGACCACTTAGTGTTAAGAGCATCGCAATCGCTCGCGATATTGATTCTTTCTAGGATTACGTGTAGCGATGAGTGGGTAGGCGAATAATTTCGCATAACTCCGCCTTTTGAGCGAACTCCTCTCGTCTACTGGCTTACTCGATACGTATGTTTTCGAATATTCGCTTAATTGTCTAATACCTTCATCGCGTTTACGATCATGAACTATAGAGGGTGCTCTATTTACGTATCGACTCAGTCCAGGTGAAAAATGGGAGAACGACCAGGCGCAAGATCAGGAGTTAAGGTGGGGGAGGGGAATTGCAGCGCCGCGGCTCATCCAAAACCACGTAAAGCATTATTTTTTCTAGTTCATTCAATATTCAGGACTAAGCCTCTGAGGAGATACTCTAGGGTGCATGTACCATTTGCTTTTTTACGGCGTTCTTCTCAAAGGCTTATGGTCAATTACAGGTGTCATTACCCCATCCCACCCGAATCTTGCGACAATGCATCGAACAACATATCCCTTTGCTCCAATTCTCCAGCTGTGTCAAACCAGTCGACAAATGTTTACTCCTTTTCGCGCTTTCTTCGATCACCCAAAGCGTTGACTGCACTCAGACCGCGTTCATAGTTCGCGACTTGGGAGATTAGGATAGTACGCGACAATGAAAAAGATATGTATTGACGGGGAGAATAGGATAGTAGTAGATTAGGATAGTAGGAGAGTAGGATAGTGCGCTGACAAGATTAGATACGTATCGATTGAAATCGCCGGAGAGTAGAGGTTATGATGCTACTGTAGAAGGATAGGAGAGTAGGGGATTAGAAGATTAGATAGTACGCTGAAAAGATTAGATACTTATTGATCGATTCGGCTGGAGACGCCTAAGGCCGCGTTCATAGTTCGCGACTCCGGAGATTAGGATAGTACGCGACAATGAAAAACATATGTATTGACGGGAGATTAGGATAGTAGTAGAGTAGGAGATTGCGCTGACAAGATTGGATACGTATCGATTGAAATCGCTGGAGAGTAGTAGATTGGGCGACTTCAAGCGAATAGATCAATACATATCTAATCTTGTCAGCGCACTATACTAATCTATCTATACTCGATATCGGTGAGTTGGGGTAGGCGTGTCACCGGAAGTGACGTGCACTTGATAGAAGCTATGTGGATAAGCTGCTTCCAACATACATCGCTGGATATCAGCAAAGCATGCTGGCAACAGCTTATCCACGCACTTCTATCAAGTGCACGTCACTTCCGGTGACACACCCACCCCAACTTTCGGATATCGACTGTATGCTATCCTACCCTACTCTATACTATCCTAATTCGCGAAGGTAAGCAAACCAGCCCTTTTGGCGTTTCGGCTGGGACCGTATGCTGAATGTTGGGGAGGGGATGGGGTCCCCAACGGTCGACGGTTTACTTCAACTCGGTTGGTACGATAGGAGAGTACTGACGCAAGTGGTGCAGCTGGTCCAGCAGCTCCGCCAGAAGGGCTGGTTTGCTCACCCCAGGACTAAGCCTTGGAGAGGGGACGGACCCGTCCTCTCTTTAAGGCTTAGTTCTGAGGTAAGCACCAAATTGTGGCGGTTCTAAGGACCGAGTTGAAGTGGTCCGTCCACCGTCGGGGACTCCATCCCCTCCCCAACATTCAGCATACGGTCCCAGCCGAAGCGCCAAAAGGGCTGGTTTGCTTACGTCTCTACTGTACTATCCTACTATCGTGATATCGTAATATCCTACTCTCCAGCGCGATTTCAATCGATACGTATCTAATCTTGTCAGCGCACTATCCTACTCTCCCACTATCCTAATCTACTACTATCCTAATCTCCCCGTCAATACGTATCTTTTTCATTGTCGCGCACTATCCTACTCTCCGGAATCGCGAACTATGAACGCGGACCTACTCTCCGGCGATTTCATCGATACGTATCTAATCTTGTCAGCGCAATCTCCTACTCTACTACTATCCTGATCTACTACTATCCTAATCTCGCCGTCAATACATATGTTTTTCATTGTCGCGTACTATCCTAATCTCCGGAGTCGCGAACTATGAACGCGGCCTTATTATTTTCAAGAAGGTTTGTCTTGAATGGCTTGAAATGTCATCAGCATCCATGATAAAACGCAGTGGCTGGCGAGAAAATATGTCTGTTGCACTTCGGTAAACGAGAAGAGATTTAAGAAGATGTGCTCAGGAAAAGTATTTTTTTTGATGTCTAGAACTAATTTTTTAGCTTTTTTTTCAACTATAACCTCTAAACTCGGTCTACTTCGGCTTTAGCTCTCGCTCACTCTTCGCCTCTTGAATACGTTTTAATCGACGTTCCTTTGCTTCCAAGTATCTTCGCCTTTCCTGCTGCTTCCACCTCCCAAACACTCGTGAAATTCTGCGCTTCGTCTCCGAATTGTTGTTATGAACAGCTGCAACGTACTGAAATGCCACGCGGGGGATGATAGCCCTTGGGACGCTAGTTCTCAGCAGGATGCAAGCCGACGTTAATCTTTACAAGGACATTTCGCAGTTTTGTGCGTCATTTCTTGGTATAGCCTCGGAGAATGAAAATGCGTTCCACGTGCAGGACTAACTGTCAACAGTTGCTTGCCTTGAGGAGAATTGTGGACGAAAACATCCATTTTGTATACTTGACAACGTGGTTCCTCTCATGGTCAGCAGAACTTTCCTGAGTCTAGGATAGCCTTTTATTAGTCTTGGCGACTTTGCCGCTCGACTCGATCGCGTGATTGGCGCTTGCAAATCGCGTTCTCAGTGATTTCTTCTACCAGGTACGGCTCCTCGACCAAACCCTACCTTCGCGATAGTAGGCGACATCGGGCCCTTCTGCGCCCTATGGTTTACTTAATCGAATACTGCTCTTTCTTGTGATGTTACGCAATGTTACCGAGACAGGGACTTCACCTGGGAGGAGTAGTTGATCGAAGAAACCAAAGGCACAGAAAGGCTCGATGTGTCCGCACTGTCCGTGTTCGCGAGGTAGGAGTAACTCATAAAAAAATATTGAATTAAGTCGGAGATTCAAAGTTAGATTAGGCGTGGCTATGGATTCGTCGTGTCCGTCGCCGCAATTGATAGAACGTGCACGGATACTGCTTCCAGCGCTTTCCTTGCTTTGCTGATATCCAACGAAGTGTGGTGGAAACAGTCTATCCACATATTAATTGAACTATTGGATAGTTATTTCTACCTCACTCCGTTGGATGATCAGCAAAATCAACGAGAAATGCGACTGCGAGCAGTTCGTGCACGTTCTGATGCAAGTGCGGCGGCCGCCACGTCAAACCCATAGACACGCTTGCTCTGACTTCGAGATATGGGGCTGTATGCTATCCTTTCCGAAGGGGTTGGAGGACGAGAATTCCTCAAAATTTTCTTTGTCTTCCCATCTGGTCAAAGGAGGTAAGAACTAGCCACTCGCATCTGCACTGTTCGTCCGCAAGCCACTTCGCTATCCGGCTGCTAACGTGACGTGCGAGAAAAGTGGGCGCGCACGTTTGCCGGCGGCGGTCGTGGCATGCGAAAAGTCATTGCATTGGAGCAACTCTGAGCTTATTGCTCTCGAGACAAGTTCTGGTACCTATTAACGACCTCGAGGAGGATTGGAAGGCATTTTGGGCCCGGGCGCCCACCGACCAGGATTTGATCATAGGACCGATCTGTCGGGTAAGGGCTGCTACGATACCATCTACATCAACTTCCGCCCAGTCTTTTTTAAAGCATACTTTCGCTATAATCGAGAAACATATGCTGACGAAACAGCTATCGCGCGATTCTTATCCAAGTGCGATTGTTGCCACTTCAAGCTATGGACTGTTATCTGCGTTGCGTCGTAGTCCTTGTTTCGTGAGGGCGGCGCGAAGTATCTCGTCCACAAGTTAAGATTAATCACCATCAGATCACTTCGTGAGGCCCTAGTGCCATTGTTGCGTCTTTCGAGCCGCGACAACCACGCATCATTGATTCGTGTGGGATATCCTATCCCATTCACAAAGCAGATTCTTCAAAACAACCTCATTTAAGGTTGCTGCTTTAAGTATAGATTCACGTAGCGATTAACTAGAAGCGAGTCCGAGGATTTGCTAGTAGTGAGTCGCTGGATCGCAAAGTCTGTGACCGGAATGAAGCATCACCTGCTGCAAGAAACGCGCATTAGGTTACTGTATCTCAAGGAGAAATGACAAACGTCATCCCTGCTCCCATTCTAATCATTTCAAAAATAACTTCTGCGGGGCCGCGTACAATCCAACGCAATACTGTTGTTAGGTGTCCTCAGCTAATATACAATGAGAGAGAACCGCGCGGAATAGCAGTCGCCCAATTTGTGCGGGGTAGTAAAAAACTTCTTGGTCTGAGTGGTCTTCACCACCCTATGTGGGGGACTGCAGCACGAGAAAGAGGAGAGCGCTCGGAGATTCCGTCGAACATATCTTGCGATTCCCCTGCATACAGGGTCAACCGTCCCGTTCGCACTTGTCCGAAAATTTTGCAAACTCCTCCCCATCCCCCTCCTCCGGGGGTTTCCGTACGACCCCCTACCATCACCCTATCACCATCAGCCTTAGATGGCTCTCCCAATAACGACACTCCCTACAATTACTCCGGACCATCTTTGCCATGATTGCTGTTTCTATAGTATTTGATTCTCTGACTAGTCGACACGACTCAACTCCACCCACTTTATCCTCTAAAACGGCTGTCGAGAGAAAGAGGGGGAGGGGTGGGGAGAGAGAGGGAAACAAATATAAATTAAATAAATAAGGGAATAAACATAGAGAGGAATAAATAAACTCAACTGAAGCTCATTGAAGCATCGTGTGAATACAAGGTTTCTTCATGTCACATCGATTTGGGGGCAACATCGACTTCAGGATCACAACAAAACTCGTTTTCACACCAACTGTGCATACCAATTACTGCCTTCTCATTAAAGGCGTTCAATTCCATTCAACAGTGGGTCTTTGTTGTTAAGGGGACTGCATGTGCAGGATTGTGACAAAGTGAGTTAGAAAATGTTCCTATAGTCCACCAAAGCGAAGAAAATGAAGATCACGTCATCGGTAATGACGTGTTATTACGATTCTTTATATCAACTTATTTTATTCTCTTTGCAGCGACCGACATCCGGATCGAATTGCCTGCTATTAATGGGTTTGAAAAAATGGATGGCTGTCGTGAAATCCGACCAGAATGGGACTAACTTTTCGTCAAGGAAGCAGGACAGAAAGAAGGCGAAACGCCTGAGGAAGCTGCAGAGTGTTGCTTGTGCTCGACATCAACCCGTGAGTTTTTGGTTTTTCTAATTAGTTCTGATCAGTGTCTAATCTTAAGTGCGCAGGTCAAACTCTTGATCCTCTGTTAGATTGGAGGGGTGCCCATGTAGGAAAGTTCAGAATCTGGGATAGAATAAGGCACACATATGGTTTCAGAAACTCTAGAGAAAAAATCATAGTTGGTTTTCGTATTCGCTTTTGTTTCAGATTGAAAAGATTATGGAAGAAGCTTTCAAAAGCAAAAAGATGAGTAAAAAACGAAAGAGGAAATTACGAAAAATGGAGGCTGAGATGCTGGAAAGCGAAAAGCAGCAGCACGAAGAAGAAGAGCCTTTATCAAAACGACGTCGTAAACGTGATGATGACTCGTCAGAATCAGATTCAGATGCTGAACTCACTTATGAGCAATACCTCAAGGAAGTACAGGTTGGCATTTTTCTGCTTTTCCTTTGAAATTCACATTTCTTGATTATTTTGGTCGACCGTAGGCGGATGTTTATTCCACTCAAAGACACAGCAGTGACGTGAGTGAGGAAATTTTGTTTGCGTTACTGGATTACTTGAACTTGTACTCTCTATGTCGAACACGAGAGTAGCGTCGAGTGCAGACCACACACCACAAGTTACGACGGTCAAGAAAAAGAAAAGAAAAAGCCACTTTTTCTTGGCCGTCGTCACTTGTGGTGTGTGGTCTGTGCTCTGCACTCGATGCTATTCTCATTTTCGGAAATAAGCGTACATAATTTGGATGGACTAGGGCGCAGATGGTTAAAGGAAGTGTCGGCAGTAGATCATGTGGTTACGAGTGGGAATCGTGGGAAAGTGGAAGACGGAAACATCATCAACGCTTCAAAGGTAGAAGGGATTGCATCGGCTGGGTGCGGGTCGCTGAGGCCGATGTCAGACTTTGCGAATCGCGCGATTCGCTAGCGTCTGCGGTCGCGTCGCGGCCAGTGAATCACTCAATTGGCTGGTACCGCAACGCGACCGCGGACGCTAGCGAATCGCGCGCGAATCGCTAGTAGCGAATCGCGCGATTCGCAAAGTCTGACATCGGCCTAAGAAAGAAAGCGCCTTTTTTTCTTTACATGTCGCAGCGCGAAGTCGCAACCTTCGGGAACCCAGGTCCGCTCGGGATTAGAAAGTGGGTCTAAGGTTCCCGCAGCGAAAAAGTTCCGCGCTGCGAGAACCCATGAAGCCGATTTGTGTCCTAGCCACCGCGGCCGCAGCGGCTGCGTATATGGCTTGTAAAATTTATCCTCGCTCGATCTTATTCCATCGGTATTGATATCGAGCGGTTTTTTGGCATGCCAGCACCTTAACCGCCCGGATAAGCTCTATCTCAGCTCTTATTCTAACCATAACTCGTTCCGTGTATGACGCGTATGTATGTTCCTCTACACCTCAGAGCTAGCGTGATCGCTTCCTTCAAAGGAGAAGGAAGGATAAAAGCTCTTGTCTGAAAATCTGGAGAGGCGGAAGAACGCCATTGTGAATTGCTGAGCGATAGAATTTGGAATATGAGAGGCACGATAAGAATGATATTCTGAAATGTCAGCTGTATGGAATTTTTACACATTTTTTGAATCCTATTCCAGGAGAAGAAGCATAAGATCGCAGTGGAAGGTGATGACGACAGGCAGGATGATATTGACATTCATCGGTATTCAAAACTCTTGGGCATCAAAGAAGGGAAGAAGGCTAAGAAACCGAAGTCTTTCACCAATGATGGCTTAGATTGTAGGTTTGAATCTTCCCGTCATTTTTTCGATTCATAAACTTCCATTGAGTTATCTGTGCATAACCTCTGATTTTATATTTACGAAATTTATATTCTTCTCTACTGCAGACTTGCTCGATTTTTGTGATAGCGACTCTCGTAAGCGAATCCTGGCTTCATCAACCGATCAGGAAATAATATTGAAAGGTTCGTTTTGAGATTAATTGGATAAAAAAAGTTAAGTTCTTGTGATTTTCATTCTTAGCCTTTCTCGTGGCATTGCTTTCATTTTTTGTTATCAAAACTTTTAACACTGTTAACAAAACGCAGGGTTTCATCCTGTAAGGGGGGGGGGTAGGCACGTGCTGAGTGCTGCCGGTTTTGTTGAAAGTAATCCAGTTTTTTTTCTGCAAATTTTTGCGTGGGAAGCTCCGTGTGTGTAAAAGCGGAAGCGAAGTGGTTCACGCGCTCCGGAATTTCTTCCTCTTGCAAAAAAATTGAAACTTTTGTAGCGACAGCAACTCTCACTGCAAATACTACCCCCTTAACGGGTGAGACCCTTTCCTTAAAAAACAGCTGTTATGTGTGCCCCTCCGTAAGTTTCTGTAATCTGTTTTTCACTATCCATATCACATTTAACCAATAATCTATCAGAAATTTGATCAGTTCACAAATATATGATATATTTTGTGTCTAAGGGAGCTTTTATAATATAACGAAGTGATGAACAACTTAAACACATCCTTTTTCGCGTGGTGATGTGCTGCACATGATGCAGCACGCGGTCCACAATGGCTCAACCATGTCCATGTAACATTTATTATTGCATAACTTAAGATATCCTGAACTTACACAATTTCAGGAGACGATCTCGGTGAAGAGGAGGAGGTTGGAAGCGAAGATGGTGATGACGACATTGAGAATGACGATGGCGCTGACCTTAGCGAACAGGGTCCGTCAGAGGAAGAGGAACCGGATGACGACGTGGGAAACGAAGTGGATGAAGACAGCGATGACGAAGAAAACAATGAGGTAACAAACGTCGCGATGTTCACTAGTACTCACATTTCTTGAGGTTATTTGGTTATCAATCGCTCTTCATTTGGGTAAGTTCAGTAGGAAAAAATAACGTAAAAGGATGATTTGCCTGACTCTACTGTTTTATTCGCAGATTCTTCGGGATTCTGCTTGTGATATTTTTCTTTGCTTTGCGGCCTTACCGTTTTCATTTTTGAGAAAATTGGTTTTCTTTCCAAATTATTCCCGAGCATTTTATGTTTTGATATTTTACTTGAATCTGTT